CAATAATATGTATTACCTTATTAACTGGAATCGCCCACCATCCTCCCTTAGACGTTGGTCAACTCATTGAAATGTCTTTTGGTTTGGCAGAGCACGATTAGGAAATCTGTCATGATATAACCTTCGGTTTGTAAAGTATGGCAAGACGCAAGACCATACATGAGATACATATCTGCATACTCAGTACACGTGTATTCCATATTTTGAATTAATTCCCAATTAAATTCACCACGAAATCCAAAAATTGGTAAATCAATAACGAAGTAAAGGATCAATGTGTCAGCGATGTCACTTTGTTGCAGAGAGAAAAAAAATAGAAATCAAAAATAAAACATGAATTCGTTTATTATCCTTTTTCTCGTAAGAGGTTGATTTTATCGACAATAAACAAACGTACCTTTTTTTTTAGTCTGAGATTGAGGCTACCCAGATTTATTATTTTAAAGTCTTTATCGTACAGGGTGTTACAAATTTAGCCATTAAGTTGCAAAGCTTAGCCCGCCCCTGGTAAATTAAAAAAGCTAAATATGTTTCAAGGACACTATTCTAAGAGGTCCTTACTAGTGTCCATCACATAAAATTTTTATTAAATTATATTAAGTACTTAAAAGTTATTCAAGAAACGGCGTTCTTCAGGAACAGATATCTCCGTAGGCCTGTACGAAGAAATTTTATAGGAACTTGTCACTTTATTTTTTCATGTTCTATCTGCACCCGACAGATTTCCCACATTTCCCCGGACACCCTATTACTATTAATAAATAATGTGGTGTGGTAGTTTATTACTTTATTGTATTTTGTGTTCAATAAAGTTAATTACTGATGCATAAGCACGAATACTTCCTAACCAATTAATTTTACTTAAAGAAATGCACAAAAAAAGGTATACACATTCAATGTTATTAAATTGTTTGTACATTTTTTATTATCCATCAACTTCCTATGTCTGTCCTTATCAATATTAGGCATCAAAAAGCGTATGTTATTCACTTATTTCATGAAAATTTTAATAAAATTGGGATTTGAAATAAATTTAAAAAAACCTCGGAAAAAATGAATTAGAAACCTTTAGATTCATCTTACATTCAACTTTACATTCGTACTACATGGTAAATATTACAGATCATTAAAACTTGGCAAATTCTTGGACGTATTAATTTTCTGATCTGTATCATTGCAAATCGAAGTAGAACATATAAATAAGCCGGCAATTTATGTAGGAACATAGATGTAATTGCTTTAATTACGCGTAGGTACGACTGAAAACTTACTTTATTATCATAATAACAGCCATGAAGATTCTGACATGCTACTCTGTAATTCATCAGGTTCATCTGACGAGCACTAAAAGTAAAATTTCTATTGCAACGGATTGTATTCTTGTAAAATAAATAATTTTATTTATGTCAAACGGTAAGAGATAAATTAAAGCCATACAAAAAGTGTTCTTGATTGAGGATAATTCTTTCCTATTCAGACCTTGATTCAGATCCTTGTTATTTGATATTAATAACTGTACTTGATGCCAAGGAAATACTACCGATTTCCTTTATTGTGTAAGTGCTTCTTTTTTTTAAATAAACTTTTATTAGAATATTTAGTGACTGATGATAAACGTGTGGTAAGGGGCTATAAATTCGATAAGCAGTAATTAATATAACTATTTCTCTCAAGTCAAACGATTTATCATGCGATTTTATAGCAAATTAATCTATCATGAACAGGATATGTAACTCTCTAACCCAGCAAATGTTAAATAGGAAAAATAGCCAGTAATTTTACCAATATTTATTAAGACGATGTTTTTATTAAACTTTAAAACAGTGAAATTATTGAACTATCTTGCAAAATACATTACCACCATGTTCGTTAATTTATAATCACTAATTGATGAACCTTGCTTAAGAGCACCTAGAAACCAAATTTCGAATGAGTTACAGGAAAAATAAAAGAAAATGCTTATATGAGTTAATTCAATTAGTTTTAAGAATAAATTGGAATATTTCATTTGAAGAAACGTTTTAGCAAATTTCCCTATAATCTGAGCCACCTTGTATCAACAACAATTTACAACATTCCTATAGTCTACCATTAAACAGTTCTACCCTGGTAAAACGCAAATTATGCATGATATTGAAGGGAAATCTATGAAAATACTTATCATAAGATGAGGGTTCAGGTCCCTAACACCCACCCCTTACTACGTTACTGATCGAAACTTTAGTAGCCTAAGAACACTGTAAGTTTTGCTGAAGTTGGTGCTTATGTAACGTAACATAACAATTTTGACATAGGCATTAAAAAAAGTTTTATGTTTAGAGAATTGACCGAATCGATTATTTTCAAAATTTTTTTTTTAATTTTTGGATATTTCATCCTTGCATGGTACTACCTTTTTTGTTTAAAGCTGCGTAATTTTTTGAGAAAAATAAATTCTTCCAAAATGTTGTCTGGTAAATGTATATTAGTCCCAATAACTAATGTATAGCGTGTTTCTAACTTGATATCTCGACATTATTACGAGAAAAGAAAACAAAAACAATTAAAGTCCATTTAGTGCCAAAAATATTCTTTTTTAGAATTACTGAATTAGGGGCAATGACGTCCTGACAGCTTTGAACAATTGTTGCTATGTCATCTATAAGTTAAGCGTAAATATTCTTTGAAAAATAATTTCGAAAAATATTAACTGTTGTCAGACGAGTACTCCATGGAGATAAGTTTATAAAGAGCAATTGTTTTATAATACGACTGTAGTAGTAGTCCCAAGTTGTTATAAAATTGTTGTATCCTTTTAAATCTGCCCAAAATGAAGAAAATAAATAAATCAAACAGTAAAAATGTCTGTAAGATTTAAAATTAAAGTATCTATACAAGGTGTTTATAAATAAGTGCGAAATATTTTAGAGGGCGATTGTCAGTTATTTTATGAAAAAAAGTTCATATAAACGTAGGTCGAAATATGCTTCGTTTCCGAGATAGTGTTTAAATTTTAATTCTTTATTTATTTTTATTAATTATTTCAGTTTTAAGGATATTGACTCGAAATTTGAAAAACGCTTTATGGAGATAAATGTGCAGTTTTTGGGGTGATCCTAATATTTCTACTTGCACCAGTAGCGTTCTTACGAGAATGCCACAACTTTTTTAATAAAAACGCCACTGACTTTTTTCCCGTTTTAATATTTTTCAGAAATCCGCCATCAATTCTGAATGAAATTGGTCTCTTCAATTTTTTTCGTTCGCCGTTTTTGAGGAAAAAAATAAAACATATTTTTTGTGGGTTTTGTTAATCTTTTATTTAAAGGTCTTTTTTAATAAAGCGTTATTATGGTCAAAGTAAAAATGCAATTTGACATTGAAAATAAAACGTTGATATGAATGTGGGTAAAAAATTCTTCAATTTCGAGATATAGGGTGTTCAAAACTATTTGAAATAATTAATAAAAATAAATAAATAAATAAAATTTAAGCAGTGCATCTCGGAAATAAAGCATATTTCGACTTTTTTTCACAAAATTACTTCGGCGACCACCTCCTAAAATATTTCGTACTTATTTACAAACACCCTGTATATAAATTTGGTTTGATAAAAATAGGTACAAAACTATCTTTTTCTGAGTTCGATTACGCATTGGAAACTTAAAAAAATATCTTGAGGTGATAACTAAGACGATAACTGTTTAAACAAGTGGAATATATCAACTTTTCCTGAACAATTTCATTGTTCCACGTCGTCAGATTAGGCTTTTACGTTTCGAGAAGGATCTCTGTAACTGGAGGTTAACTTCAGTCCTTTGGTTGGTATTTATATCTGCTACATGCACTGGTTTTGGTCCTTGATTTTTGGGGATGAGTTGTTTCCAATTTCCAGGTCCTAACTTGTCTCTCTGGCGAAAATGGGCCAAAATATCTCTCTCTTCCTCTCACTAGAATTCTGGTACTATGTAGTTAGATCTGTCGCATATCCTGTACCTGCCCTGCTGATTTTCGTCGTTGTTATTCTTCAAGTGACACTCGTGCTCTTTCGTAGTGACGTCTTTCCATTTGTCCAAAGTATACTTTTCCGCATATTCACAAAATGCTGTACACCGGAGCCTTGGAGTAAATGGTCCCTGTAGTTGATATTGGGAAATTCTGCCACTACCTTTCCTCAAGTGTTACAGATGGTATTAATTTTGTGTTTCCTTAAGATGCGGTCTATGTCTATCTGTTAGTACACCCTTGGAAGATAGGTCGGTGCCAGATGTTCCTCTTTTTCCGTACCCATAGATGTCTTTCTGATGGTTCGCTCGATATTCGTGTTCATGTATCCGTCTCCAAGAGCAAATCGTAGGTGCTGTAGTTCTCTATGTGCATTGGTACATCGGGCACGGGCTACCCATGAGCCAGAACGCGTGGAACTACAGCGCTCACGATTTGCTCTTAGAAGAAATAGATACACGAACAGGAATATTGAACCTAAAGATAAAGAAAGAGTGGAATACCTGGCAGCAACGCATTTGTGTTGCGATAGATCGCATCCTAAGGAAACATAATACCATCTACAATACTTCAAGGAAGTTAACTGCAGCCTTTTCCAAGACCAGCTTTGGACAAAAGTAAGACACATCAGTATGAGATTAAAGGGGTACAAGCGTCACTTGAAGAATAACAACGTGGGAAGGAGACACAATAGATTTATTTAGTTCCAGCATTCTACTGAGAAAGAAAAAATTTTGGTCAAAACTACAGGAGGACAATAGAATGGAAATATTTTCAATCCAGGCAAAGGGGAAAACATTTGTCACTTACATCATAACAGACAGCTTTTTCAGGAATTCCATAAAAGAGTATTTTTGTCGCCTACTATTTAGTTAGTCAATTTTTTAAATTTCGCTTAATAAAGCAGACGTCAAGTTTTAAACACTCTGTATTTCTGTTATAAAATTATCCAACCTCGATTGTGAAATAATGAAATTAAACTGGAATAATAAATTCGCTCTATCTCATTGTTCCAGATTATGGTGTGACAAGGATGATATCTGCATTTACATGCTGTTCGAGTACGTCTGTGGCGGTGAGCTCTTCACATATCTAAGGAACGCCGGAAGGTTCACCACATCGACAGGAAACTTCTACAGCGCGGAGATAGTCTCAGCATTGGAATACTTACATTCCAGAAACATTGTCTATCGGGACCTGAAACCTGAGAATTTACTCCTGGACAGAGAAGGTCACCTGAAGATAACAGACTTTGGTTTCGCGAAGAAGCTCACCGACAGAACGTGGACCCTGTGCGGCACCCCAGAATATTTGGCGCCTGAAATTATCCAGAGTAAGGGACACAACAAGGCCGTAGACTGGTGGGCGTTAGGTAAATAACATATTTACATCGATCGCTTATGAATTAGGTTAGGACAAGTGGTACAGTTAATTCGAAGGTCTCCGATGAGAGCTTCACGAGGTTCAATGATATTTACACTGCACAACAAATTGGCAATTCCCGTGCGGAAAACAAAACGTTTACTTAGAATGTTTACTGAATTATTATGTTTTCAGTTCATATTTATAAACTGTGACGTTGTAACAAATTTCAAGAAATTATTGTCTAAATGAACAAACGAAAAAAACAAATGTGACATTGTTTCTTAAAATAGTTCGTTAAACATCTACGATCATTCATTCAGAGATGAGATGTTAAAAACAGGTTTTAGCAAATTTAAGATTAGGATAATACAAAATCTGGTGGTTTAAACTGTATAAGTTTTCAAAAAAAAAACTGACCATCGAGTGAGGATTTTCTTTTAGATACCTATATGAGACTATTTCAAAATTTTCGTGTTCTTGGTATTTTTTCTTAAAATATGATCGAGTAAACCATATACATTTATATGAAACTTAATTGAGAGGTTGCAAATAATGGATGTACCATTTTTTGATTATGGATTTTGAAGAATCAGAAAAGGTAACAAAATTGGAGAGATCTCTGCTAAAATTTCTCAAACTGGCTAGATTAAGTTAGGTTAGGTTCACTTTAGTTCTTATACATAAATTATTAGATTGGGATATCATTGGGTTAAATGTTTATGGGATTTGGTTAATTGGATTTACCGTTGGAAGCTTGAGTCTTAAGGTTATATGGTTTAATTGTTCAGAACATCGATTTTTGTGAGGTTATGAAAAGTCCTGAGGTGATGGTATTAAACGGACCTCGGATTCGGATTCAGCGACCCAAAAAATGTATAATAAACATGGTCTGACCTCTGGGCCCGAAAGTCGATTTTTTTGTGTGGCTGTGTAACTATTTGGGGGAAAAGTATTGTCGATTTTATTATTCCTTAACGTTTATCACCATCATCGTAATAAATTGTAATTACTAATATGATATTTATAGTGCTTTATTAAAAATTATAATATTTATGAAAAAACGTGGAATAGCTTCAGAAGCTTCAATCAATGGGTTCAAATTGCTCTACGATTCTTTGAGGACGGTGTCATGGTTTTTGGAACTTTACTCATCGGTTTTATGAAAGTAGTTCAAGAGATAAAAGTATTGACATTATTCTGACCCCATTTACAGCCCCTGGGTTTATGGCATGAAATTCTGGTACATCCTTTGTATGTATTTCCCTCTCCTATGATACTAGATCTCCACTAATCAACAATAGTAAATAAAGTCGGTGTTGTACGTAGTACACAGACAATATCCAATAAATTCTTTGTAAATATTCACAGCAATATGAATAATTCTTAAATGTGTGGAAGCACACAAACAAATATGTTCTTAATGCACAGAAAAATATTTTCATCTTAGTCCATGTTTTGAATCCTGGCCACCACAAAATAAATTTCAAGTTGATATTCATTGAAATATCTTTTCCGTTTAAATCAAAAGTGTTTTTAATTTTGCCAGGCCATTAAAATCCAGCCCAGGCCAGCCAGTGGTGACCTATTCATTCATTCAAGTGTTCTACGAATATTGCAATTTCAACAACAACATATTTATAGATAATCGAAATGATCTATATTCCTAGAATAGGAAGAGTAGGACTTTTATAAACAGACTTCAGATTCAATTACTTCACCAGAGAGTAAACAGGAAAAGTTCGAAAATTGTCTGTTTTAATTATGGTGTTTACTGCTTCCGAAAATAGTGTTTGTACTAATTTAAATCGTAGGAGACCTTAATTTTTTTAAGATGTGGAAATTCAGGATTCAAAATAACATTGTAAGGTCCATAAAATTTCAATTACTGCGAGATTTAATTTCGGAACTGTTGATGGAGATTTTATTTTATATTTAATAAAAAGCTGTAACAAACTTTGAAGTTACACGTTGTGATTTTAGGAACAGTCACTGTCGCATTTAACAAATTTATTTGTTTCGGTTCCTTATTTCACTATTGTTCTTGTTTCCAATATGAAGAATTATCTCCTTCAGATGGAATCTATTCTCTAACTTGTTTCAAACTTCATCATTTTCGTTGCTATGAATTCATTACTTCTTTGAATTATTTCCTTTAGAAGAAATAATTATTTCATTGACATAATCTTCCAGTTATACTTTCTTTCTTTAGTCTATCTCATTGGTTAATTATTTGTTAGAGTGATGTTAATTTTATATATAGCATTTGATTAATAATAATTTTGGAAATCAATAATAAAAAATTTGGAAAATTATTTCGTCAGTTATCAATATTTTTCTTTTTTCAGGAGTATTAGTATACGAAATGCTTGCAGGCTATCCTCCATTTTATGATGACAATCCATTTGGAATATACGAGAAAATTCTAAGTGGAAAAATAGAATGGCCCAAACATCTCGATCCTGTCGCGAAAGATATTATTAAGAAATTGTTGGTCCAGGATAGAACAAAGAGACTAGGAAATATGAAGGTAGTTATTTCATAAAATGTTATGAGAATAACGTATTTTATTTAATTAGTAACTGATAAATGCTGCATGAGAATTAACAGTTGTGTTTATTTTTTTTCTGTTCACTAAATCTATGCTTTCCAAAATAAACTTTACTGTACTACTAAGTTTAAGTAATAAATAATTATAGGCTCATATAACATTGTTTTTGCTAGTGAAATTATAAAATATTAAATATACAGTGTGGCTACGATTTAGGTGACACAGGCTTATAACTCAGGTGTTAATTGACGAATCTTTTTCAAATTTTAACCACTTATGCAGATCAATGGGGCGGACATTTGAGGATCATTAAACTTACGTATATCCATAGGTGTGCGTTAGGGGAAATTAAAAGGGNTCTTACTCGTAACAGTTGCTTTGTTCTTTTACTAAAATACTTGTAATTGCATCTGCAATAACATAAAGCAATATAATTTTCTGTAAAGCGCTAGTGTCGAATTTCATGCGCAGGCACTTAAATTACGAGTATAATGTAGTGTTCTTTTTATTACCCTCTTTCTGTGCTAATAATAAATTTTATATGCATGTAGACAAATAATTATGATGGTATTAAGATTTCCTTAATGCAAAGAAAACTGAGCTTTTAAAAGAGCTTCAGATTTTGTTATATGTAGGTATTAGGGAAAAGTACAGAAAATTATATGTAATTGTAACTAAAATGGAACAATTAGAAGATAAACGTTGCAATCTAGTTATTCAAAATCTCGATGGTCATGCAGTTGGGTAATATTCAAAATTAATTTTAAGTTAAGTTAAGTTTAAGTTAAGTTAACTTTAAATTAACTTTAAATTTATTAAATTTAATTAATTATTAATTAAGTTTTAAATTAAGTTTACCCAATGGGAACTAAAACATTCAAATATTTTAACTACTATATTTTACAACTACGAACCTACTGAGGGTTTAAACATGTATGTTCCAACTTTTCTAATGCAATAAATATGGAATACATACCTGTTATTAAATAGAAAATATAGCTGTCTAGCCATGATAGAAATAATTGACAATTCTACTTGTATGTACCTATCTATTATACAGGGTGTAAGAAGTTTGAGTGCCATTACTTCAGCATGAGATAAAGGAATCATGTATGAACAAAAAAGTTGTATATTACTAGGGCGTAAGATTAACAGTTTTCAAAATACCTACAGCGAGTATTAATATTGAGGAGTTTCATCACAACGTGACAACAGCGCTTAACTTAATGCTACACAGCTGATGCACACCACGTGTGCACACGTTATACTGGAATAACAAAATTTGAAACATTTAGTAAATTTCAAGACAGTTGTTTTCCAGTTTTGAAATAAATAAAATAAAATGTATTGATATTGTAGTACGAAGATAGCGTTGTGCTTAAATTTTAACTCGAATTCCAGTAATTAGGAAACTCTTAAAACAGGAACTTAACTTAAAAATATGTAATTAAAGTACTCAAAAATTCAGTTCCTCCAAATAATCATATGTATTAAAAATAATTTAGGTACTTCCCAAAAAGCAAATTTCAGTAATTTTTAAACGCACAAGTACAAAACAAATGCTCAAAATGTTCACCACCATTTTCGACGTAAGCACAACATCTTCGAATCCAATTTTCGCACACTCGCTAGAAAATTATCACTTATAGTAAAAGTTTTAAAAAAGCAAGGAGAAACACCTCAAAAAAAGGAAATAGTGGTACACAAAAAACTCTTCGTCACGATCGAATTCCAGATAGCAACTGAAATGCGTAGTGCTGGTGGCTAAACTGCTTAGTACTTCGTGTTAACCGCCGCGCCGTTGTCACATTGTTCGATATGAGTTTTATCGAATTTTAAATTTATTGCAATGCTAATAATTTTTTAGAATTAAGCATAAAGAAGTTCAAAAAAGTGATAAAGATTGTATTTTATGATATTCCTTAATTAATGTAACTTTTGTAAATCAAGTTGGAGATTTTGATAATTTTTTTCTCGGAAATGGTTGAGTTTAGAACCCATGTCATATAAGGTTTTTTTGTTTATTTTAATGTATTCTATCGTCTGTTATAATTAAGACAGTCAAACTTCTAACACCCTGTAAATTCTACCACTTAAAACTCCTCCTTTTAAGATACCGTAACAATAGAGGTATCAATTTGTAGATCTTTGCAAGGCCTTCTATTATAAGAGATACAAGCTTGATGAGTTTCAAATGACGAACCCCATATAGTATATTTGATGCTTCCATGTTGAATTTGATTTCAATTCGTTAATTGTTTTATTTTTAACAAAAGTAATTTTTTTAAATTAGAACATCGCAGTGCTTTCAAAGTTTTAACAAAGGAACAGAGTAGGAGTAGTCTCAAAAATATTCACGAACGACTGAAGTATATAGAGACTAAGTTCCATCATATTTTAAGTGGAAGACCTTCGGACGCATCGAGTTTGTATACGTTTGTAGGAAAGTGCTAAGGTGCTTCTGGAAGATCACCACCTGAAAGTGTCTAAAATTTGCTAAAGTTTTAATTTTTTTATTAGAATAGTTGGGACATGTACATACCCAGACTTTTGGTAGGCTCATTTGAAAGAGCTTATTGGAACAGGATGACTGGTTATTTAAATAATAGATCTTTGTTAAACCATATTTTAGTTCCAACAGAGTGAATTTGATTGCAAAACGTTGAATTATTTGATTTGCAAAAAGTTCAATTTGATTTCAAGTGCAAAACCTGTTGACACTTTCTCTCAAAGAAAATCTCAAAGTAGCGTATACGATTACACTCCTATAAACGCAATTTCCTTATTTCCAGTGCGGCGCAGATGATGTCAAACGACACCGCTGGTTCAAGGGCATCGACTGGCAAGATGTTGCACTTAGAAAATTAGCTGTAAGTATGAAATATAATAACATGATATGTCTTTGAACTACAGTGTTATAAAACCATCCGTTCTGTTTGTATAAACTTCTCATTGTTTCGTATAGAGACCCAAACACGTTTAAATGTTATTTCAGAAGAGTAAACAGGACGTAAATTAAATAATGTTTGTACCAATTTAACTACTGGAAATTCAGGATAGATCACCGCTTAATAAATGAGAAAATACAAGGCTACATTTAAATTAGTGGTTAGTTTATGGTGGTATCGGTCAAAACACTAATTGAAAGTAAATTATAACAACACCTTCAGATTTCAACGGATCCTAAATTGCAAAATATATTTTTTGCGAAGTCTCAATATTGTGAAAGTATTTACAAAAGTATATAAACAGTGTAGGTACTCCAGTTATATCGAGGTAATGACTCATGTTTATATTCAATTAAATTTATTGGTAATTACGCTACAGTAGGGTCATACAAAACTACCAGAATACTCTTTTTCGTTACTGACTTCATTTAAGCATTTTTTCTTTATTTTTTGGGTATTTTGGTACCTGTAAAAAAAATATTAGAGAAATAAGCCCCCCTGCGCCAAAAGGATCTATCATGTGTTATTTTTATGAAAATATTTTTGCCTAACCAAAATATCTCACACCTGAAAAAGCGGACAAATACAAAAACAAATCGCTTTATATCGCCCACTGTAAAATGTTGTTAACGTTCAGAAGAAAACAGAAAATAAAAGAAAACTTCAGACAACATTTCATTTAAGCAGTTTTAATGTCGAAGTAGGACGTAATTTTGAATTAAAACGGCAAATTTGAATTTTTTATATAATATTTTTGATTAGCTGAAAGTTTGAAAAGGTTTAAAAATATTCTCACATAATTATTCATTAGGTACACTTTTTGAAATGTTATCCTATTTATAAATTTTTATGTTATGGCGACTCCAAAAGATATGCAAGCAACAATACTTTACATGGGGGAAATACGAATTGACTTTGAGACGATAAACATGTACTAAAGATGAAATTAAATAGTTTTTACTTTCACAAACAAGAAAAAAATCTTTATTTTCGTATTCACAATACATAGATATTGAGTCTTTATTACTACAAAGTACATTGTTTTCAAGCAATTGAAATATTTTATGGGAAAATGTCAGCATTATACTTTATAATTCAAAATTAATGAAGTATATCTAAGTTTAAATTATGAACAAAATATATGGAAAGACGTTTAAGATAGGTACACAAAAAATTCTTGATATTTTTATAAAAACTTAGCTTTATTTTTTTATGTAAGTATTATCCACATAACACTTAAAATATAATGGAAATTGCAGTAGTTGAAGTTATGTTGGAGAATTTATTTTTCGTACAGCGCCATCCAACGGATATGTACCTAACTTTTTATACAATTTATAGGTCACTTGATTAGTCAGTTTAGCGCCATCTATTATACATAGAAGACAATATATTTCTGTGGTAAAATTAATTTTTAGAAATATTTTGTACTTATCCATGAGTTTAGAAAAACAATAAATATACAAAACTAACAATGAAAAATGCAGAACTAAAATAAAAGAGAAATTTTAAATACCATAACTAATATAATCCTATATGTCGTATAACCACGGACAATATAGCGTATCGCTACAGACTGCTACTTAAATGCTGGAAATTGGCAACCCGAAATGGAAGCAGGGTCTCCTTAGCCGGCTTCCAGCTATAAAGTTTAGCGTGGTAACTCTTCTACTTGCTAATAGGCGGCAGTTCCAGCGGTGGCTTTGTTGCCAAATAATAACTGCTAAATAAATTTAATGCTTTCAATTATGTAATTAAAGAGATATGGAAC